AAATGTCAAAGTATAATAATTAAGAATTTTGACTTTGATATTTATCATTTTGTACCTAAAAAATGATCGCATGATATGTAAAAAATATAAACTACAGTTACTAAATTTTTATACAAGCAACGTCAATATTTACAAAGTAAAATGGTAAATTTTAAACGCAACGCTAAAAATCAAACTATAATTATTGATTTGCTTGGACTGGTAAAATATATATTTTAAAAGTAGAATTTTTACTGTTTGAAATGTTAAAGAGATCCAAGTACCCTCCTAATGTAAAGAATGTCTATAAAAAAATAATACGTAGAAATACTTTTTTTATGTATCTTAAAATTAATAAATAACATTTTTGAGGAAATTTCCGAAAAATTTACTCATTAAACAATTATTAACATTTAATTAACTAATAAAAAATATAGCACTCTGAATTACCGGTATACACTTGACAACACCGCAAGAGTTCCCTAACCGTAAAATTTATTTATGTTTACTGTCTAACTAAAATGACTAAGATCTTCTAGCATTTAAAAAACCGCGGTTACTTATGTGCCGGGTAACTGCGCAAGCGGTGTTGCCAAGTCAAATACAAGACTTTAAAGAACGGAAGTTCCTTGTGATTTTTCATAAAAAATATAAAATATCTCCGTAATACGTCCAGAAACCCACTTTTATATTGTTTTAATCGAAAACTTATTATTTTTTCAATCAAATTCAATTAGAATAAAATTTTTTTTAAATCGTTAATTACATTGCATTCTTAAAACCAAATACACGGCTAGTAGAATCTCCATTTACCTGCATGTAAAAATTACAATTTTCAAACCTAATTATTTCATTAAACATCCCGGAAACTTACTGTTTTATAATTTTTTTTATTAATTATTAGGCTATGTAAATTGAATTTACAAATTTTCAGGAAGTTTTAAAAATTTGACTACTTCGCGTGGATCTCCTTAAATTCTCCAAGTGTGAGACCTCCCCCTTCTCCTCATAGTATTATAGACTATATATTGAAACAGTAATTTTTACTGTTTGAAACTGTAATTTTTTAAGATAAGAGAGTCGTTATTTACTATAGTGACAGCTACTAATTACTTATTTTTATTATTAAATTATAAATTGTGGCTTTTGAACTTTCTACATTAAGTTTTTTAATATTTTCATTTTTGCCACTCCGATGTCCGCTGTACTGTTTGAAACTATAAAAATTAACCGGAATCTGAGTGAATTTTACTGTTTACTTTTTTCCGTGGTTGATGTAATATCTGATAGAGCAGAAAAGAGCAATATAACTGAGCATCAGGTATTATATACATTGATCCTCGAGATTAGCTAAATACCCATCGACGCAGGTATTTCAAACAGGAGCATTATTGCTGGAATCGAAGCGACCAGCTTATAGCAAAACGTTTTGTGAGGAAGGCACCCATAGTATATATTAGCAATCTACTGAGAGAGAGAATCAAAGTGTAAACAGTGGATGGAATCGATGGCACTTGTACGATAATCGATCCTGCATACTCGACTGTGGCAAACCAGTTCATTTTACCTCCTTTGAATATTCCGCAACGCACAAAGCCCCGGGAAGAGAATACTTCATACGGTATTGCTTCGGCGTTCACTCTTTCACTGGCTTCCACTAGACCTCGACAACAAAATGAAACGATTTTTACAAACCCAGTTTTGCTAAATTAGAAAATTTTATAAAATACGAAATTTTGAAAAAAAAAAAAAAAAAAAATACTGAGGATTTTTTTAATTAAAATGAAACTGTAGACATGTGTGGATGTGTGGATTATTATTTGAACGGGTGTACGTTGTACTAAAGTTCTTGAGTCCGAGCAAGTGCTACACAGTCTGGTTGCCGAGCTTTGCATAATTTTCAACGCTGTGGCTACGACTGTGACCTCAACAGGTCAAACACAACCACATTAATATTGTACAACTACAACGTCTACGTCGCTCTAGTCGTACTACTTTTGGCTCACAATATATTACATACATCTACTAAATTACGAACATACACTTACTTTAGACACTCTTTTTAATATTTACTTTATTTACTAAAGAAAAAGAAACTTTTCTTTATTTTTTATGATGCTAATGAGTGGAAGAGAATAATTAGTCTATTTTACATTTATAAAAAAAAAACTAAAGGTATTTTATAAAATTTATCAAAGAGGTAAATATTTATGTTTATTTTTAAAAAGTTCCTTGCGATAAATCACTCTTAATTTGGCGAGAAGCACAAGCGAAAACTCGTAACACATTTTTTTTTTCAGCGTGTTTTATTTATTTAAAACATTTTTTTTTTTTTCATTCTCATTCTTCGTAACTGCAAACACCCACACATGTTAAAAGAGAGAATGGAAAAGGGAAAAATAGTGAGGTAAAAAAAAAAAGCTAAGAATTCGGTAACTCGGTAGTCTACTGTGTGACGCAAAAGTGAAACGAGACACGTAAATAAAAGAAAGGAAAAAAATAGTGGAGATAAAAATACATTTTCGTGACTTTAAATTATTACTTTCACTGGTAATAGCTTCATTTATTTATTCAACTTTATAGGTATAGAATTTTTGGGCTTTTAGACCCGACAGAATAAATTGATTGATTCGAACCGTACGATAAAAAAGAAAACATATAAATAAAACTAACTGCTCTAAAAAATGATTTTTATTTTAATAAATTTACAACATTACTCTTTATTTTCTCATCTACGTATTTTTATTCTGATCCCTGTTGGGATGAAGCTAAAATTTCTCATTACTATTGTTGTTATGTTGTTTTTTTATAAATGATTCATGAATTTTTGTATTATAACATTTTTCTTTTTTCCGGGTATTACTTCAACGGCTATACAAGATTTTATTTATTTTTTTACCTCTTGGATTACCTAATAGGAATATCATTCCTTTCATTTCAAAGTGCAAACGTGAGAATTTTATCAAAAGGAATGATGATTAATTTCTGTTTTTTGTTTTACTTTTAGAACGCTTTTTTCTAAAAATATAATTATTTTATTAAGAGAACAAACAAAATTCTGTGGCCAGTGTATTTATGTGAGAAAATGGGTTTTCATGGTTAAATTTGTTATCATTAGAAAGGTCTTGACCTGGAGTTGTGCCTTTTCATGGTTTCATATCATTCTTACCAATAGTCAATTTATTATGCACTGATAGAAGGATTTATTTGTATTAAAAAATATTTGTTAATAGTTAACAAATGATTTATTAAAGACAACTTTTTAGTATTAAAAAAATATTTCTTAATATTTAAAATGATTTGTTTGTATTTAATAAATCTGATATTCATTTATTAAATATTAATAAATCTTTTTAAATACATACTAAGAAATATTTGTTAAGGACTAAAAAGTGGCCTCTAATAAATGATTTGTTAAATATTAACAAATCTTTTTAACTATAAACAAATCCTTCTATCAGTGTGATAATTATTTAGGCTGCATTCGAAAATGCTCTATCTCTAGATACATAATTAAGAAATGACTTTGTATCTTGTGGCAATAATTTTTACGGTCCAATTATGATAATGGGTTTCAATTTTATTGGATATCTTACATTAACTGTTGAGAACCGCAAACTCACCCGAACGACTCATTTAAGTTGCGGAAATTCCCCGGAAACCAGTTAATTGCCAGCAATTCCAACGTCCGTCATGTTGAAACGGCAAAATCTCTTGCCAATTTTCGGGAATTATTGTTACTGAAATAAACCTCGACACAGAAATGATAATTATACTAAAACAATGGACATTGATTGGATGAAGGATTAAAAGGAGATATAATATTTAAATAATTAGCGATATTGAACTGGATAATAACCACTTTCGTAGGTAATTACTAATTACTTTAAGATAGAGTTACAATATATACGCTCTAAGCAACGATACCTGAGTTTATTTTTATTCTTTTCATAAAAGATAGCTTACCCACCGGATGTAGACTCAAGTCCTCGAAGGTCGATGGATTCGCTCACCAGCATCATACTATGTAAGTTTGCTTATTCTATTCGTATCGGGTCTATGTGAATGTGGAGCACTTAAATGTAAAGTAGACATTGCTACAGTAAGAGAAGACTTACCAAAGAGGAGGAGAATGAGGGATTAAAGGCTAAGCTTCCAAGTTCAAGAAGCTGCAAATGCTTCTTCAGCTTGCTCTAGATAAAAGGCTGAACAAACAACCTACACATTATACTGTTTCCAAAATACTCTGCGTTAGTTTACCTTCAGCTAATTTTGATTAAAAAGAGTATTTTTTTGTGAATTTATACGAAACTTTTTTTCTTAACGATAAAAAAATTCTTTGAGGACTGCAGAAAAATACTGAGTAGAGGTGTTGATACGTGACTTGGTATTAAATATAAAACTTTTTTGTCAGATGTTGAAAGTTAACATGGACAGGAAGATGGATTAAAGTTGATACTCGATCAACTATCAGAAAAAATATGAAAAAAAATAAAAGAAAGATAAATATTTGCTGTATTTAGAGTACACAAAATAATAATTGAATTATTCATAAAATTCAATTTGTAACTTTAAACTCGCATTGGTTTATTTTGTGCGTGGGTAGTACAAATATAAATCCATATACATAGATGCTCGTTGATGCACGCGTTTTCCATACGTCTGTAGGTATTGATTTCCGTATTCTATTTAACTTTGTCAAGTTCGATTTCATCCAATTGGTACCTTTTTTTTTATTATTTATTTTTTCGTTGCCTTTATTATTTTCCGTTAACATTTTATTTCTATTTTATGACAATAAAAAAATTGTATATTTATTGAAAAAAAAAATTTTTTTAAATCACCCAATGAAAGATAAATAAAAAATTTAGATTTATTTATTTATTTATTAATTGTATGCCAAGGCCAGAGCCGAATGGCAAGAATACAAAACAGTGGAAATATATTTACATGAATATATAACTAATATTTAATTTACTTCGTAAGTAATTAAAAACATAACAATTTGAGAATTTATAAATTTATAAATTTACAAATCTACTCTTAACAATGTTTACAAGATTTACAACTCCTACTAATTCCTGCAAGTTACAAATTATTTATAACCAAATTCACGTCTTTACCACCAGCTTTAAGATCCAAAAGGTAATTTAGCATTTTGAGTTTAAAACTCCCTATTGATAAAGAGCTTATGACATCCAGTGGAAGTTCCTGCCATAGGCGTATAGCTGACACTATGAATGAGCGTTCAAAGACAACAGAATGGAAATTAGGAATTCTGAAGATAATATTATTATTATTCTGAGCAAGTCTATCCGAACGCCTAACACTTTCATCTTCATCACAGAACAGTTTTCGCAGATATTTTGGTTCTCCAGTTTGCAATAACTTGTAAAAATAACATACCAGACTATAAATCCTATGCATCCAAATACTGAGCCATCTTAAATCTTGACGATAGGGCGTGATATGCTCATCCCGCTTAAGATTAAAGATGAATCTTATTGTACTATTTAGTATGCGTTGTAATTTGATATCAAGTCCTTTTGATGAGTCTAACAATACAAGAGAGCAATAATTAATTATCGGTAGGATGGTAGTAGTGACAAGTAGCTTGCGACAAGGTTAATATAAGATATTTTTTCTATACTTCAAGCTGTTTAACGCAGCATAGGCCTTCCTAGAGATTTGCGAAGTATGAGCATTCCATGAGAGGTTATTCGATAGTTCGATGCCTAGATGTTTAGTGGTATCGACATAAGCTATGACATTACCATCAACAATGATTGGTGGTAGGTCAAAACCATCAAGTAACTTCAGTTTTCCTTTGCTGCCTAGGATCATGACCTTAGTTTTATTGAAGTTTAATTGTAGATCATTTTCACGAGCCCAGTCTGCCACACTTTGAGCATCGACAGTAAGTTTGTCTGCAGCCTCATACAACTCAAAAGATTTGAAATGGATATAAGCCCACAAATCATCCGCAAATAAACCGTATTTACAATGTTGCAATCGCCTCGTCACTACATTTATAGCAATCAACAAAAGAATAGGGCCCAAGATCGATCCCTGTGGAACCCCCGACGTAGTAAATGAAGGTCTTGAAGGAGTATTCGAGGCATCAATAATCGACTGAGATCTATCCGTGAGGTAGGACTGGAGATTTTTTGTCACATCAACAATATCTAACTTTGACCAGTTGAAGACACAATTTACTTGTTTTGTATGATGATTGGGTAGATCAAAGACGAAATTTTTGTCACATGACGGGTATTTGGTTACAGTACTAGCGTAGAAATTATTCAGTAAATTCGCATCAAAGTGATCCAGTGGTGAAGACTGCCTAGGTTTAATAATTCCTAGCTTTTTCAGCTTGGACCAAATGTCAGAGCCCTGAGCACTTTCCTCTAAAACATTTTTAAAATAATTATCACGTGCATCACATATCTTAATTTTTAATTCGCTTCTTAGTTTTTTATATAAGGATAAGAGATTTAAATTCCCCGTTCTGCGAGCTTGCTTATAAATAGTATCACGATTATGTAACTCCAGCTTGAGGTCTTTCGTCAGCCACGGTTTTTTTTGACGATATAGTTTTCTCTCCGTAAACGGCGCAAATTCATTTAATGAATCGATGACTGCAGTCAGAAAGATAGAGGTAAGTTCATTAGGATCTTTATCATCAATGTCCATATTACGAAGATCTAACCTAATCTAATCTAAGGTTTAAAGTCCAAATGAAAATTAAATGAACATGCTGGTCGATGTATTGACAAAATATTTAATACATTTGATTCTATCGATCGTTGGTTTCTGGCTGGCAAATAATTATATCCGGATGTATCGCTTAAATAAATCAAAATAATTTCCATGGGCTATGAATTCATTATTATATTTTTAATTTGATAAGTGAGACAGATTTAGTTGGTAAATGTGGAGGGTTGCTCGAGATAAAGTGAATTGGAAAATTCATCGGGCATTGTATTTTAACAATACTATATATATACTATATACATATATTGAAATCCGGGTCAAATATAATTTCGTCGATGAAAATCAACCCGATGCTGCTCTTGCTTTTGCCGTTACTATGCTACTGCTACTGCATTTAAAGCATCAATAACAACCTTCACTAAAATTTCATTATATTATTTCATGGTAATTCTCCAATATTTATAATTATATGCGTACGTTAAATTCACCAATTAATTTATTATTATAATTCAGGCTACACATGTTTAGAAATTATGATAATTTATATGCAAATTTATATTAAATGTTTTAGTTTATAACATCAAAATCTGTGTTAAGTTAACTTCAAACGATACAAATTTGACAATCGATCAATCAATAGATTACATCTCTGTGCTTGTTTTAATTTTTTTTTCGCGGAGAAAATAAATTTACGTTAGTGTAATTATTATAATTAACCACCGGGGAGTGTGTGTTTCTGTCATTAAAGTTAGCCGCATAATTGTCATGATGAGACGACGTAATATCACTAAATGCGCTTCTGGTAATATCCGTATTACCAACGCGGTGTCGTATATGTCTGTGTAGTAAATTTTAAAGGATTAAAAACGCCTCTGGCACTTTACACTCGTTATTTAACGCCGTGGCATACCTATACTGCTTCAGCTCCACGTGTTTTTCTTTCACCAATTTATTTCACCTTTAATTAGACACTCATTTATATTTTATTTTACTCTTAAACTTTATAGTAAATTAATAATCACATTTATTAAATCCAAAAACACACCAATTAGGAAAAGGTTAAGTGCTTAGTCGAAATGTGTTTTAATTTTCACCAAAGTATTTATAACGATATTTATGAGTAATTAAATAGAAAAAAAAGTATATAAAAAATTTTTCACCTATTAATTTTAGTCAAATAAAGTTGAAAGTTTTATAACGTTGAACAATGCGTGATAATTTAATTGGATTTTCTATTAAATCTCATTCGCAACACACCTTTAAGCTCCCGTAGTATTTAACGATCAATATAAATGAATAACAATGCAATTAAAGTAGTTACATATGTATATAATCAGTTGCATGACTCATCCATCCATCCATCAGAAGAGTGCATGTAAGTTTGATGGATCATACTAACTAGTATAACTTATAAATTCATTGAATTCTTCAATTATCTCGCGCAAGTTTATAATCAACGAGTGAGTATAAAATTTAATATCCATATAATGAAAGCACAGGAGTTATGAGCAAAGGTAGAGAGCGTTCGAAGGCTCACCAGCAGACAGACCGGGGGGTTCAATTGTGCGGTAGAACGAGCACGGGTTTAATGAACGAGGACGTTCATTACCATTACTGTATGCCAAAAGTTATATATATTTAAGTGTACCTCTTTTTATTTAACCCTTTGCTTTCTATTCTGCGATATTCACTCGGATGAAAAAATTTTAAAAAACCATCAAATGATACGACGTTTCTCATTGTTTATTTTTATCCGAGCTTATAATGCTCTTGTTTCGTTTCGTTCGTTCTTAATTATGTTAATATAATTACACTAGGATGCATGGGATGATTGTGAAGATAAAGCGAGCTCACTCTGCTGTAAGAGTTTATTAATCACTTTTTTTTTTTGCTCAAACAATAAAATAAAAAAACTTGGTTTATTTACATCCATCGTTCAACTTTACCTCTTTTACTCACGACCAATTAAATAAATTACACCGTAGTCTTCTTTATTTAATGATGCTATCATATCATTTTATTAGTATTTGATTCAAGTGAACAAATAGATAAAAGTTTAATTTTATTATCAATTTGTTTAAATATAGTAATTTTTTTTTTTTTTTTTAACGTAGTACTTATTTCATAAATTAACGATTCACTCCCGGGTGTTTTTCTGTTAGGCGTCAAGCGTGAGACAATGAATTTACTCTGGGAATATTTTTCGTTAAATTTTATAGAGAGAGAGAGTAGTTGTGGTAGCGCGAGGATGAGACTTTTTAGTGAGAGAAGAACGAAGGAGGTGGAGGAATAAAAAAAAAAAAATTAAGTACCTTCGATCGTTGTTGAGTTTCATGTTTAGAGAGTTGAGTGACAAGGGTGAAAATTTAAGGGGCTGGTTATTACGATAAATTAACTTGTCAGATTTTGTCAAGTCTACTTTACGAGTTTTGTTACTCAAATTATGTCTTGTTTTTTTTTCTCATCAAAAATTGTAATTATTAATTGGCAGAAATATTAAAAAGTTTGGAAAATCCAAAAGTGCACGCCTCATCATTTGATTTTTCACAATAAAATTGAATAAAATAAATTATAATAAAAAGCAAAATAATAAATAAAAAATAGAAAACTCTGCTATGGTTTAGTAGCGCCAATTCTAAAGTGGGGGAAAAAATACTATAATAAAATGTATAGATAGATATACAAAAAAATCCACAATCATATATTAGTTTTTTATAAATAATAGTTTAACGACAGTGAATTGATCGCTCATATTAATTGAGAAAGTCCGTCGTGTGTTGCTTTAGATAATAAAAAAAAAATTATTCCGGTACGACCATTTTTTCGACCAATTTCCCTGCCACATAGAGTCATTTGGGGTAAATGTGCGCAGTGGGTAAGCGTGTGCAATCCCATGTATTTGGGACTCAAATGAATGGGTTTGCGCACTCTTACCCACTGCGCACATTTACCCCAAATGACTCTACACCAATCCATAAACACAGACATACGGACGTGCAAAAAAGATTATTTTTAACGTTATTATTTACTATGTTAAACAAAATTATTGTTATTGAAATATATTTTGTATCTGAAAAATTATTTGACTTGACATTAGTACACTCAAATTAACCTGTAAGTTCGATATAAATAAAAAAAATATCAATTTCAGTTTCGAGAAAACTGCTTTTTTTGAAATGTCGAGAGTAGAGCACTACCTCAACATTTCGCTTATGAGGCGTGCAAAAGAGTGTATTAATTTTTTATCATCCAGATCGACGTTTAACTGTTGGTCGTTGGCTTGCAGACAATGTATATGTATAGATGGTAGTTTTGATAATTTAATAGCGATGCCTGGCGACGCCATTTCCATTGATATGCAAACCTTGCGAAGGAGGAAAAGGGGTGATGGGTATGTCTGTAGCTGTGTAAGTGTTGGTATAGACAGGATGATAGCTATGTAGAAGATGCGAGGATGAGGACTGAGACGAGAATGTATGAGTGGTAGCCAACACAGACGGATTCAAGTGATTTATGAAGCACCGAAGCGATTCAACTACCACTGTGAGACAATCCTGATCCATATGGATAAACTAATTTCACTCAGAACTACTCACTGCTGGTGAAAATGCATCTACATGCACACAGACACCAACACCACTTTGGTCTTCCCAAAACTAGATGGGATGCGACAAGACAAGACCAGTTGAGATGAGATGAAATGAATAAGTGAGATATTTCGCTCCGAAATAAGGATCTCTATAATTTATATTTCAGTACACACATACACCTTCTCCTCATCCTGAATAAAGATCATAATTTCCGTTTACATATTCCTCGCTGGGTTATTATATGCAAAATTACAATTAATGCCAAACTCCACGGGCTTTACTACTTCGGTCGTTGATTGTAATTTTCTCTGTTAATTTAACTTAATGCGTGTGCTGTTATTTTAACACTCTCAAGGAATTTACATGTCTATTATATAACATAGTAAATTAATAATTGTTGCAGTGTGACAAGGTAAATCCACGGTATTTTTCTGTTTCAAATGTAAGATCTAAACTCATCATCATCATATATTTTTGTACTCAAAATTTATGGAGACAAGCTACAAATTTCTATTGGTTACCATAAAAATATTCTGTGATAATTAAATAAACAAAAAAATTGGTTGTCTGTAAAGTCGGTTTACGGACGATAGTTTTACGTGATAACGTCATAAAGAAACATTGATGAAAAATTGCATACTTTTATGGATCGAATTGAATTATTATCACTGAATTATCATTATTTTGTATTTAAAAATTTCAAAATTTTGAATATTTAAAAATTATTTTAACAAAAAAAAGGACTTATTGATAAATTGTTAATCAAAAATTGATACAATAATTTGATAATTGATATGATTATTATTATTTATAAATAATATTAATTATTTTATTAATTTATTATTTTTTATTAATATTTTATTAATTTATCGTTTACAATTATTATTAATTTATTTATTTATAATTGATATTCTTTATCAACAATAATAATCTGATATAATTTGTTTAAATATAATCACGAACAATTAGTTATAGAACAATATTCTGACTGCTAGCTCTGACGTTACGCGAAAAGAGAGATATATGTCATAAGCCAATGCTTGGGCCTCTCTATCGTTTGTTTGATCGTGCCTCTCTATCGCTTGTTGCGCGCTCTCGCTTGCACTTACAGGCTCAGGCGGAACGGTCTGTCGGAACGCGACATTTTTTCGTGAGCGCTGTCGGTGTTCATCAATTTATAAGACGTTATCACGTCAAAAAATTTAGTTAAATCAAGAAAATAATTTTGAAGAAATTGACATTTAACAAGTAGAAAAATTCTCAAGTTAAGAAATTTTTCTTGACTTAAATTTTACTTGATTTAAAAATTTTCCGTCGTGATTTATGACACTGAAACTCTTCAAAATTATTATCTTAGTTTAAGATTTTTTTTCTTAATTCAAATTGACGGTCTAATTAGCAATTGGTCTAACTCCTTATTTTTTAGAGGGTGATTTTTTAACATTTTGATGTAGTAATAGTCCAATTATAAATTATTTGAATGATTTAAACCAAAATATTATACCTCTATTAGATATTAAATGGTTTTTTAAAGTGATAATAAATTTTGAACTAATTGTTTTTTCGTACAA